CTGGTACTGAATAAGTGTTCCATGTCAGTGGCTGTGCTAAATGATTTTACCTGTGTGAGCTAATTTTAATTATTTAGCAAATCTTTGAGCTAGGTGCTGCTACTATCCCTCTATTCAGAGCAAAAGATAAGACCTGGAAAGGTTAAGTAACTTTTCAACAAAAAGAGATTATCTGAGTTAACCTAAGTATTAAATGTATGGGGGGGAAGGTAGTGGAAACAAATTAGACAGGCAGGTATGGGGACATCACAACCCGAATGCTACACTGAAGATTTGGGGGTTATTCTGTTGGTAACACAGACCCACTGAGGTTTTTGGATCCTGGGGCTGATACCAGAACCGTCCCGTGGAAGTTTCTCTGGCAACAGTGCGTGGACCAGGGGAGATGAGGGGGGGACGCTGGTGAGCTGCCGAGAGAAGCGTGAGGGGGACAGGGACCAGGTGGGAGCTGGGAGACGGAACAGTGGAGAGCATGGTGGTTTGTCTTTCCCTCCAGTTTACATCCCCGCTCGGGGCCTTGGTTTCAACATCCTAGCATAGACTCCCGCCTGTTTAGAAGCCGCCTAGTATTGCAGTGGCATAAAACAATAAAACAACAAAACAAATGCAATTGCAACATTTTGAAAACCTTTCCTTGTTGACCAGTTACCTCGTATTGTGAGGAAGCAACATGATTGAATTCTGAGGAGTCAGGTGTTTAGTGCAGCATTTGTCCCCCAGAAAGGGACCCCCGCGCACACCCACACGCCTGCACAGCACTTGCCAGGGCAGAGGGAAGAAAACAGAACTCTGTGCGAGGGGTCTTTGCCTCGCCGGACGGGGCTCGTTTGGTGTATCTCATGTTCCTTTCCCGTGGCCTCGGGGTTCCTAACAGGACACGCTGCTGCTGGCATTATTGGTCACACAGGTGCAGCTGCCTCGGGTCTGAGCAAACAGCCCTGGTGTTGCATGTCTCTCATTCTCAAGCCTCGTCTTTTATTCCAGGAGAACTTGTGGGTGATCCTTTTTGAAGGAATGTTTTATAAGCATTGGGCTCTCCTGGGGTTTGAACCAAGCCCAGCTACGGTGAAGTTCACCTCACCCAGAGGAGAATAGACCCAGTGACTCCAACCAGTGGGCACTCTGGGAAGGGCAGTCCCTGCCGTGGACCTGTGTCCTTGATGCTTTTGTGGAGCAAGCGTGGGTTAAGCACCGTGTGTACCAGACATAGTGCTGCACATGGGGGATGCAGCCATGAAGATGGGCCAGAAGCTACCAGGATAGTTGGATTGTGTGGGCACAGATGCAAGTGTGGAAACATACCAAGACAAAAAATGTCGAAGATGCTTTCTCAAGATCTCGTAGGTCCTTTGACCCTGTAAGCTCCTGAAAGGCATAATTGAGGGAGGGAGGGAGGGAGGGAGGGAGGGAAGGAAAAGAGAAGAGAAGAGAAGAGAAGAGAAGAGAA